TTTTCCCTTTGACCTTTCTTCGACATACTGGTTACATATCTCTTTTGCAATTTCATCAAGAAAATTTTGCGACTTATTATTGTCACATGAAGTGTTAACGATTATCTTTTTATCTGAAGTATCCATGAGTAAAGCTGTGAACGTAGTGAATATACTGTACTTGGTTTACATTATGCATGCGTGCAGACAGGTGACACTGCATTTGAACGATTCAAAAATCATCTGATTTTTTTTTTATAGTACCACTAAAGTACTACATTATCATATTGATATTTGCAGATTTATTTATGCTTGTATTATTTTATAGTATTTCCCTTTGGTTATTATGATGTTTCTTATTTGAATTTAAGGTTTAATTTAATTTCGGTTTATAATATATCAATTGCTTAAGAAAATAAAAAATCGTAGTCACATTTATAAATATAGTTTTATATTAAGTTTCTATGGTTTAGACTTACTTTGAAGTAGTGACTACAAAAAATCATGTAAATATAGTTGAGAAAGTCTTTAATGTTCCGTCTTATTAACTCGTGAAAATTGCAAATTAAATGTCAAACCATAAGATCTAAACAAAGAATATTAAAAAGATATTGCTTTATTAGATATACACTACTTATCTGTTTTCAATATTTATCATTTATATACCGTTATTATAAGAAAATAAAAATTTGATTAATTGTAACGCATTAATTTGTAGTTGACTCAATTTTTTAGTTATTCAAGTTGTATAAAATATTTTTTTTAAAAAAAAAAAATTAAATCAAATCAAATCAAAAAAAAAAAAATAATTGCTAAAATTGAAATTAAAAAATATAAAAGTCTCATTAATATTTTATTAATATATATAAAAAATTTTTTTGTTATTAAAATCAAAATGATTTCGTTTTATTTATAAAAGAATTATAAAAAAATTTTTATAGTACTTAAAAAATATTTTTATTTATTTTTTTTAAAAAATGACTAGAATTCTTAAATCTTTATTTCATTTATTTTTTATTATATATTTTCTCTAGTTCTAAAAAATTTTTTTAAATAGAATATTTTAATATTTGAATAATCTATTTAAAGATTTTTTTAAGTAAACCTGCTCAATATATTTGAATATATTTATCACTAATTCGCACTATTTTATTAATTGATAAAATTTCTTTTTAAATAAACTATATTTACATTATTGAGTTTTCATTCGAATTTGAAATTTACAGACGATGTACGTATAAGGTATATTGCAAATGATAAATTTTAAAATTTTTAATAAGTTGTTTGGTTAAAAAATAATCATCTAATTTAATCTTTTGAATAAAAAAAAATTTTTTTTCAATAATAATAAATTATTTATTTCTGCTATATTTTTTATATTATTTTGTATAATAAACACGATATAAGAATTATTATAAATTATTTTTTGTTTAAATTTTAAATAAAAAAATCTAGTATAATATAATAAAATAAAATTTACATCTCATACATCTCATTCGTTGTTTTGAAAAAAAGGGGTTGCTTCGTATTTCATCAAAATAAATAAAAATAATTTAAAAAAATGTTAAATATAATCGAGAGAATAATATTCATTCTCGGGTGCTAACTTTTAACCAATTTTTTTTAAACAATAATCCTTGCTTGATCGTACAATTAATTTATGAATTTTCGACAGTATAAAATATAATTCCTCGCATAAATCAAAAGATTCAACATCCGCAATAATGGTAGAAGTTCGAACCGTGTAAGGCTTGTTTTATCAAATGAAAGATTATTGATATTAACAAGTGCTTTTTGTACTACAAATTTTACTTGACAGTATAGACAATAAGTGGTATATTTTTTTAAACAATGGTCAATCAATAAGTAAGTGCACCTCTTTCTCCGTCCGTAGGCACTGCCGATCACTTTCTTCTGAGAACAATGGAGAGCGGATCAGAATCTAACTTGGAGGGACAAGCGTCAGTTACGGAAGACAGCGCAAATACAAACTTTAGCGTGCAAAGGAATAAAAGTGTTAATTCGATAGACAGAATCAACCCCTCTATCAACAGAGGTTAAATGACAACTTTTTAATGATCGCAAGGATATCTACTCACGACAGCGAAGCGGGTAAATAAATATTGGGGTTAGTTGGATTTTCCAACAGAGCACTTAATCACATGTAATGTAAATTTTCATTCTATTAACTTTAGTGATGTCATTTAACGATCCCCCTCCGTCGTCGTTTGCCGAGTCACAACAACATCATCTATATCATGGCATGCAATTTCGTAAGGATGAATAATATCGACACCTTTAAAGTGATTTTAAAAACCACTTCAACGCCTTCTCGAATGCCAAACCTCAGCAATGCCTGAGTTTGCAGGGTAAGAGGTTCATCATTACATCTTTACGAATTCGCAAGGTCATTTTATCAATATATGTCTTTGACAAAAAGATGGGGTTCCACTTATTATATTGAACTCCCAACCGACAAGCCACCGGAAAACAAGGCTAGAACTCTGCTCGGTCAATGGCGATCTATTAGTATTTCCGGGAACGATCTCGTGGCATCAGTTTTATATACCGTTGGGTCTGTACAGTTGTAGTGAGAAAATATGCCCCCTATCACTTTTCATTGTTACGGTCATTCTTTACCCATTTCAAGGCATCCTGAGCGAAATGGGCACAGCATTGCCGCTTAATGGTGGATCATACAATTGTTTGCTAAACACCTCTTCAAAATGGTTTGCAGCATTGGAGTTATTAGACTACGTGGCAACAGCAGTTGTTAGCGCCGCGACAGCTACATCATATCTCTCTGGGCAATTTAGTGTATCATCGTCTGTTGTGTCTGGATAACCATTGGTGTACTCGCATTGACCGCTGGTGTTGTTGCGCTAAGACTCAAAGAATCATCAAATTTGACATTCGCCATTTTTCTTTTCCACTGTTTCACGTTAACTCTATTGATGGTTGCGAGCGTGATGCGGTGTATCATTCAAGGAAACGATGTATTGATCGAGAACTGGCATGATCCGGAATCAGGAAATCCCCATTGGATATATTTTATGGCACTTGCAATAGGACTCTAGGGTATTACTGGATTTGGGATGTCAGCCAACTATATTGAAGATCAGAAATCCGGTGTTTATCAAAAGACTGTGCGAAACATGTGGATGCTGGCATTTTTTTTCAATGCACCGATAAGCTTACTGGCCTTGGCCATAATGCCAATGTCGACATTTAAGGAGCATCAAAACGATATCATCTCGAAAATAGGAAAGTATGCGGTCATACATGGTTGCAGACTCTTGTGATTATCGATGTAATAATAGTCTTGGGAGCTGGCGTGTTGACAGGATTTATTGGTGCTACCAGGTTAATCTACCGAATGGCGTCCGATCACATATTACCGCAGTATTTATTACGAAAGAATAAATACACTGGACTTATTGCTGGATCATACTGAACTTTCTCATCTTTCGTATGACCCTTTGACTGCCGATTCCACCGAGACTTGAGGAAAACCACCGTGTCCTCGACGAGGTATTTTTTCTACTATCTCCTGAAATTCATATGCATACCTCTGTTCTTTTTGTTGGTGACCCTTTCTCAACATAAAAATCCACATAGCTTTATCCCAAAATCCAAATCGATTTTGTAGTCATCCAGAAAAATCCACAATTTCTTTCTTTCTTCTTAAAGGTTACGTGAATCTTTTCTCATGAGAATTTGCCTGTCTCACAGGTTGAAGAGTTTGTATCCAAAGTCTGTGTGCATTATACAGTTTGGGGTTGTTGAAGACATGCCAGCTTTGTGTTTGAATACCTTGTTTATCTTGATACTAATCTTGTCACACTCTTTATCGGACAGGACCAAGTTATTCAATAGGTATTCTATTGTTGGATAAAGGGCATGGTTTATGATATAGCATGCTTGTTTGTCTGTGACTTTCTTCTATGCTAAGATTTTGATAGTGATATCCACTTTTTCTCTAATAATGTTCTTTTAACAGGTCTTTTTTCCATCCTCTGATATCCATACTTCAAGAATTCTTGTGGCCTTGTTGTGTTGGAGAGAATGTACTTGGTCTTTATTTAGTTTGATACTATTTGCTCTACTTTCTTTACTGGTGTTGATACAAATTAGTGATGACTTGTTATTATTGACTTGGATATCATTTATTCTAAGAAACTCTAATGCTTTATATATTATATCCTGTATATCAGTTTGAAAGCTTGCAAATCATGTCATATCATCTATATAGATAGTTGCTGTAATCTTGGTCATCTTTTTTATATTGGTGCTTATCTTTTCTGGGCTTGATACTGTCAAATCTAGAATAACCTCAGTTTCTATTCTATATCCTTTATGCTTGTTCTCGATTTCCTGTAAAAGTAAATCATAGAAAATCCTCCATGACAGTAGTGATATGGTATCTTCTTGATCAATCCCGTCATGTATAAGGTATTCTTTTGTGAGACTATATACTGTTATTATCCTGTTACCTCTATATTTTAGTATATCATTCATGATTTTAATTATACATTCCGGTAAGTGTATTCTTCTAAGGGCTCAAGTCATCATCTGTTTATTAATAGAATCATATGCTTTACTGATATTTTGATTAAATATCCATGCTTCTTTTTTGTATTCTCTAGTCTTCTTCATGACATTGTTCAAGATATAGATTAGTTTCTATATGCTTTTGTTATCTTCTTTCTATAAATCTCATCTTTTATTTCTATTATTTTGATAGAGTTTAGTATTTCTATATATCAATTTACTCAATATCCATAGCCTTAATTTATAAGTTTTATTAATCGTAACTATTTAGTTATTACAAATAAGTAGTTATATATATATGTTATAGTAAACCTATTTACATAAATAGTTGTATATATATTTAACTAATACTATGTACAATCACTACCAGCCCAACTTTAAATCTAGAAGACTACATAATTCTATCTTAATTATTCCTAAAACAATTTTTTATTAAAAATATTCTAGTTATAAGGTCATTGAATTCAATATCCTGAATCCTAGTTTTCAATCCTTCAGAGTAATCCATAGATTTCTCCTCTCACAAGACCTCTTGATGGTCAAGTCTATAAAAGCTGGCACAGTCACATGTATAAGAATAAGTTCTGAGAGATATGCTATCAGTTTAAAATCTACTCTTCCTATTATCATTTTTATTGATAACATGATTGTGTTAATGATAATTCTATTTGATTTTGAATCACAACCTGATCACAATTTATATATAGACTAGATGTTATATTAAAAATATCAATTAGTTTATAGTTACACCAATAAATAGGTGCTTTTTTTTATCAAGCTGTCTTGTATCTTATTGATAAAATTGAATCTGAATCTTGTGATCTTGACCTTATATAGAATGTTAACCACTGCATTATTGGTCCATTGGTTCTTGTTTTATTGTCATTTTCAGATCATCAGATATCATCATAAGATAGATAAGATTTTTATGTTATCTTGTAGCTTATTTTCACTTGGCCCTTATGTGATATTGAACTTTAGATCTAGTGATTGTAATCTGGGAACACTGCCACTGTGCTATAGATTCATAAATCATATATTTTCTATTCTAGTATCTCTTTGATTAGATTTTATTGTTTTGTCTTATTCATGATTTTTTTAATATTATATATATCTATTCTAATTATATTTTTATATATTTTATTCTTTTCTTTAATTTTTTCTAATAGTCTATATCTATTATTACTATTTAAAAATATTTTTTACTTATCTTATAATAATGTTATAATATCTAAATTTTCAACTTTTTCTATTCTATTATTGCTTTTTAGAGTTTATTTATTGTCTATATTTGTAGTTTTTGATAAGAAGACAGTAGACTCTTGTTTCTTTTATTTTCTATCAAGAACTGATATATTCTTAAAAGTAATTTGAACCTTTATTACTATGTCTTAATCTTCTGTAGAATGTTTGTTACTCTAAATTGTCTATTTTAATATGCAATCTTTTAGGTTAACTAGAATATCTTTAAAGAACCTTATATGCTTTTTATTTTAGATTTCATTTTATCTTCAGAATATCCATATCTATTGTTTTACTAATTTCTTATTAATTCTTTATTGCTCCCTATTACAAGATATTCTTTTCTTTTATTTCTTTCTTATCTTATTCTATTATTACTTTACTATTTGATTTGTTTTTGATTTTTGAATCTATAATAACTTGCTAGAATAGGAATAAAATCTGTCAATGTATTATTTGATTGCAAGTCAAATATTAATTCATTATTAATTTCTATGTTTCTAAATTTGAATTTCATATTTTTGTTTTTGTTTTTAGAATTCTGTTTTCTGATTTGAATATATGTTTAATATTTTATAAAAGATAATACTAGTTGAAAAAAAATTATTCAGCATATTACTATTTGTGTAATATTCAGCAAAAATAAATAATTTGCAAAAAAATTATTTTGCATATTGCCACTTGTATAATATTCAGTAAAAAATAAACAATTTGACAAAAAAATAACATAAATAAATTAGTAACTATAAAAATTAGTATATTAACAATTTATCAAAAAAATTATTATCAATTTGTCAAATAATTTATTAACAATTTAACAATAATTCATTAACAATTCAGCAATAATTCATTAACTATTCATTAAAAAACCAGCAACTATTTAAACTATTTATTAAATTATTCATTAAAGATTCATTAACTATTCATTAAAAATTTGGCAACTATTTATCAATAATAAAGTAAAAAAATGGATAAACTTATACATGATTTTTTTTTGAATTGAGGTTATATTTATAAATTATGAATAATACAAACTATAATATAATACATAATATGTTATTTATATTATTATAATTTAATTAAGCTAAAAATAGATGACTATAATAATTGCTTCAAAATAAAATCTTAGATAAGCAAAGGAATCACTTTAAAGTTATAATCATAAGTAATTTTAATATTATTTTCAATCCAATAGTGAATCAATCCCCATTCACTGACAAAACAATTTCAAGATATAGAAAAGCTGAGATAGGTTTCTTCAACTTCCTAGAAGACTGGAATAATATAGATATCCAAAACTTCTGAAAAGAAAAAGGGAATATTATCTTTACATGAATAAACAATTGAGTATATAATAGAATAGACTATATCTGAATATCACCAGAAATCAATTTAAATAATTTACATAAATTCAAAAACATTCCAATAGTGATATTACTAGGTAGCAACATACTCTTTTGCTAATGAGAATGACAATAAATAATCTTCTCAAAAACCAGGCTCAAAAACAATGTAGAACAAAAAGTAAAAAAATATCAGATCCAGTAAATTCTATTGTAGAACAATAGGAGAAGTTTAAACTTTAGATAGAACATAAACTTTCAGAAATTAGTACATAGGTCTCCTGATATGAAACTAAAAACAGCCCTCAAGAACTCAAAAAGGCCTGGCAAGAACTTGAAACTATAATCATCAAGGGTATATATAAGTGCCTCAAAAAGAAAAGAGTCTACTTCACTTCTAGCAGAAGAAAAGAAGTTAAGATAGGATCAGTAATCCTAAAGAATGATTTCAAAGTATACAGAAAAGCCAATAAAATCCATTTTATTTTAAAGAAAATCCAAGTTATCTGGGATATGAAGACTATAAAAGATACAAAAAATATAGAGAAGGTCATTCAGAATCTACAAGGCACTTATAAATCCCTTAACGAAAAATTAGCATCTTCCCAGTCATAAGAAGAGATTCCAGAGCAATTGAGGAAAATCACTAAAATAGAATGTACCCTTAGAATGATATACAAGAAAAAAGAAAGTCTTTATATCAGAAACCAAATCAAGGAGGCTCTGAATAACAGATGTGATGATCT